TCTTTTCAGCAGCACCACGAGTCTGCTTTCCCTTGATTTCTGCTGGGATGCTCTTTTGCTTTCTTAGTGATGCATGTCATCTTGAAATATATTCTGCCTTAGCTGCTGTCTTTACAGACACATTGAATTTTCTCTTCTGAGCTCTGTGGAGGCTCTTACACCAGATGCAGTTACCAGGAATTGAAGTAAGCCATTAGTGCAGAAGTATAGAGTTAGCTGAAGAAATGTTCCAATTTCTGAGCAAACGTGGCTGTATGGAAGCCTGATTCTCTCGTGAAGAGTAGAAGTTTGTCACCTGTCTGCTGTCTAGCTTCATTAAATAAAATAAATAAATAAAAATTAAATACAAAATACAAAAGAAAACACGTATTTGAGGCACACAATATCACTAAAATAATAACAGCTCCAGCAGAAATCTCTTAATTACAGCAAGGGGCGGAAGGGAGGCGTTCTTGAATTGATTCAGGTACCCTTTGTCAACACTGGTCTTTCTAAGGCACCCAGTATCTTCCTCAGAAGCACTTCCTAAAAATGCAGGAAGGACCATGTTCTTCATATTCACTCCTGTAAACCCAGAGCTCTTGGAAAGAGCGGAGTGAGGCCAGAATAGACCCACCAATCCAGACAGAAGACTGTCTTTGAGGGGACGCGGCTGTGATGAAGTTGTCACTGGGGCACATCTTGGCCAGTTCCATCTGGAAACGGTCGGCAAAGCCCTCCATCATAGTGCTGCCCCCGCACAGCAGGATATTCCCCACCATTTTTTTGTTGATGTCAGCGTCACACTTCTGGAGACAGGTGAGTGTCAGCTGCAAAAGCCCTGGCTGCTGTGAGCCAAGTAGGGCTGGTTTGAAGAGCGCTTCAGCACAAAGGAATCTCTCCTTGCCTACAGTGATGAGGTGTCCATCTGGCAGCTCATAATCCATTTGTTGGTTCTCAACAGGCAAACTCAAGTCCCGTGTGAGGTCTAGAGAAGTGTAACAACACTTTTCTTTGAGATCTTGTACGATGTTTAGCTGCTGTTCTGTGAAGACGTTTCCAGAGTCATTTAGTAACTTCATGAGAAAACGTGTGATGTCCAAACCAGCATAATCTACTCTCCCAGTGATGCTACGTATAACATAACCTTCATAGATGGGAACCACATATGAAGCGCCATGGCCACTTTCCACCACGAGAGCTGAGGTTTTTCCGTAAGAGTACATGGATAAATGGGACTGGTAGGCAATGTGGACAGCAGGCATGTGAAATCCTTCAAACATCATCTCAGCGTATCTCTCCTTGTCAGTGATGGAACACAGAGGAGGCACTGACACCAGAACAGCATGGTCCTCTGGCTGAATCTTCATCTCCGTCTGGAAAATATACTCCAAAGTGTCTCGGACGCAGTTCCAGTCCACCACTATGCCATGTCTTATGGGGCTGAGTGTTAAGGGTACGCTGCTATTCTGAAGCTCTTTTCCAATAAAGGTTTCTTTTTGATTGCTCCCAGTCTCCTGTATGGGCTTACCAACCGTAGATGAAAAAATGTAGGAAGGCCGTGAGTCCCCTGCAAAGCCACACTTGAAGTAACCTGTGCCAATGTCTACGACTACTGCTTTAGTTTCCATCATGGCCTTGAGGCTACCTTTGGTCGCAGATATGTGGCTGTCCCTTATGGGCTTCAAACAGCTTGCGTCCGCTGCTGCCAATCTTGCAGACCCTTCCTGTACAGCTGTGACTTCACACAGTGAGTGCTTGACATGCTTCTCAGTAGCATCACCCTTTCACCACTCCACCTGGGGTCAGCACAAGCAGTGGACACGTGCCTGGAGCCCTGGTGGCAGTGATTCTACTGATGCTACTTACTTATGACATCATACATAGGCTTGCCAACTCAGAAACCGGTGCTCTGCATGCAAGTGTGTAACAATCGTGGCTTAGATAGCTGCGCACCATTTCTATATAGATGGATTGCAGGTGTTTGTGCTTCACTTTGACCTGCTCTGAGAGGTACCAAAAAACATGACACCCACCCAGATGTGATGGGCTGTGGGGCATAAACAGTGCATTTAACTGTGAAGCAGCATGGCTTTCGTTTCTGGCCCGCGTCTGCCATCTGAGCAAGACCATGGTTCTCCAGCATTTGCAATTGCTTTTGGTCCAAAACAGTTCCTGTTGCTAAGCATTAGCACTACTTCACCTCTGGGCCAAGGGGAGCCCTGGTTTGACTGTGTCAGGAGTGAATCCCTAGACTGGCTGTGCTTTTGTCATTGTTTCTCGCTTTTTAAAGTTTTGCTTTCTAAATTAAGGCGTATTATTAATGTCAGCAAAAACTAAAGTGTGACTGGTGTTTGAAATTAGGCTACAGCCAACCCCTCACCCTTACTGTCCCCCAATTCCACTACAGTTTTTTTTTTTGTTCTTTTCCAGCAGCAACAGGTCACCATTTGCCCCATGAGTGTTGTGTAATAACACGCTGCTGCATGGGGGCACGGAAGAAAAGAACACCCTCTCCCCACGGAATACGTTATCACGAGTTACAAAGAGCATTCTCCTTGTGTAACAAAAGCTCTGTGTGCTCTTTTACCGACAGCAATTTTACCCAGAAGGCATCTTGCTTAACGAGTCAAAGCTGGGCTTAGAATGAAATTAAACCCTACAAACCAGATTTTTATTACTACTGCTCTGCTGCCTCCCTGGGAGTTCACATCTTGATGACAATCAAATGATAGACCCTCACCAACATCCGGATGTGGAGAAACAGGGCAGCATTAAACCACACAATTTCTGTACCAATCTCAACATACACAGCCAAGCAACTGCAAACCTCGCTAGTTTATTACCCTGGGGAGCAGTAAAGCTGATCATTGCACATTATACATGTATTTTTATACATAAATGATTAAATACATCCATGTACAGAAAAGAGATAGGCTGCCCCTCTCAGAGCCTGAGCAGAGACTACCCTGGCACCCTGCTGAGGGGCGACGCCTGCTCCGTAGCAGAAGGGAACAACATTATCATTTAAGAGAAACTTCAGTGACAGGCAGAAGACATCAAGAGAAAGACCTCTAAATCATTTCCTTTCTCAGTAGAAACCTTGATCTGGGCTCAGCGCCTCAGCTTCTGAATTAAAATAAATCCTTTCATCCAAGCACAACACTTCTTCCAGACTTTGGTTCACATACAGATGAATGTGGCAGTACCACAACAAAGCTGCAAACACACCTTCTGAATCAGAAGTCACTTTATTTTATGTTGGGTTTTTTTTGTCTAAGCTATCACAAAGTTAGTATGCTGCTGTTTCCAGGCTACCTTTTCCCACATTACACTTGTCATTCCAGTTAACAAAAAACATACACGTCCACTAACATTTCAAGGTCTTTGTTGTAGCCTGAAATCTGAAGACAGGTTGTAAGATTGATTTTTTTGCAAAGTCATTTTGGCCAGTGTTTCCTGAGATGTTCCTTTAACTGTGGGACAGTGGACAGCTGTTGTTTGCAACGGTGGCATCTGAGGGGCAGTTTGAGAAGTTCAGAGGCATGATCTTTCACCATCACTTTTCCCTTGCTTCTTACCATCTCTATCACATCTGAAATAAAATAAGAGACAGGAGGTATTAGGACCACATAGTGTCATGAAACACATGACATTGCAGAATCCCTGCACACTGCTTCGCATGCACAGCATGTCATCACTGCATCCTAATTTAAACCAGTCACAAAATTCGGTTGACTTTTACTTAGTGCTATTCTACAACATCTGAAATTACATAAAACCTTTCAGTTATTACAACAGAATTTATGGCTTATGCATTTGTTTGGAAAAAAAGCCCGAAGCCTGAACCCACAAGCAGGATTATGTGTTATGAAACACCTTTCCTAATCATTACCTTGAGAGTTTAAGAAGTAGTCTGTAGTAAAAGAGTTCCAGTGCTTTTTGGTTTTCAGGGCCGGAGAATCAAAATCCTGGCTGATTACATGCAAATGGAGCTGACTGAAACAAATATATTATGTAGATAAGAGAGAAGAATAATGTTAATGCTTGAAGTTCTTTTGCAGTAGTATCAGCTGCAAACACGATTCAGCAGAGTCGGACTGCCAGCCTTATGGCTCAGTCTTACCATGTTTGACCCACAGTCCTGCGACAGAAGAAGCCCAGTCTGTTCTGGAAGCACTGTCTCACGCCAAGTGTTTCACTTAAGTCAGGGACACTAGTCTGCGTATCCCACTGGCCCCTAACTACTAGGAGTCTATACTCCTGCTAGTCTCCAAAAAGGCAGAGACAGTGGTTTTAATAAGCCAAAGGTTTAAACTTTGCAAAGTACCTGAATGGTACTTGATCGGTGACTCAAAGCTTCGTCCGAGAACTGGAGAACAACTTAGGAACACTGACTGCAATACCCACAGGCATTTGGACACCATAATATTGGGTCTTATTTACACACAAGATTTGAATCCTTGCTCAGTATCAGGCAGGACTAGATAGGCTTAAGAGTCACTCTCTGATCCCAGATCGGTGCGCTGGGAGGGGGATGCACTAGCCATGGCCCTAGCACTTGGCCGTGGGCAGCGCGGCCTCTTTTGCTGGGACTGGACCACAGCCGTTCTGTAGCCCCAGCTACAGACCGCTGCCAGGGGAACCCAACAGGCATTTCCCACCTGACCCACGACGCGTGCGAAGCCCATCAGCATGCCCGTGGCAGTGTGTGCGCAGCTGCGCCCAAAGGACTTGGACAACAAACTGTTTGTAACGTTGAGGAGGCTAAGTTGTTCTTTAGCAAGGCCAGATCACGTTACAGACTTAGCCCGAAATCTGTATAACCGGAAGAACAGGGTCTCCACCTGACGGACGTCTAGGTCTTACCTCATACTGGGGATAGCATGGTAACCCAGTCTGAACTCCAGACTCTCTCTGGCAGGGCACTGTTCGATCATTTTTTGCCCAACTGCATGCATATGTTCCAGGAGTTCAAGATGGTCCCTGGTGACTGACTTCAGGCTTGAAATGGGGTCCCACGGTAAGATAAGCCAGTGGTAACGTGCTTTGGGATATTTATCCTTGATCACTACAGTCTTTTCATCTTTGTAAACCTTGCAAAACAAATAACTAGATTATTTACTGATTGAAAGTTAAATACCTTATTCCATAAGCACTATATTTAGTGGATTTTGAGATGCTATCCATCTGCACGTCCCACTGTGGTTGCACAAGTCCCTAAGCACAGTATGTGTTGCTAGTGCAACTGGGACTGCCACGAAAAAAGCCAGGAAAGATTACTAGATGGGGAGAAATACCAAGCAGCAGAGCATTCCACTTCAAGGAGGACTTTTGCTGGAACTAAGTTGGTCCAGGATATGCGCCCTTTTCCATACCATGCACCAGGCAGCTACAGAGAGATGTTCCAGCATCCCTCTTTACATACTTTAAGGAAAAAGCTTTCTATTCTTACATAGCAATAAGTTAACTATTGCTACAGGTGGATATGAACTCTCCTGAAAAATCACCTGGACTCAGATACCAGTGAGGTCTAGGAAACTCTGCTTCTATCAGGCTACATTCAAGCTTTGCGGTCACTGAAACAAAAATCACAGCACTGTGCTCACTATAGAGCACGTAGGAATGCACTGGACTGCCTAATCCTTCACAGATTTCTGGAGTGAAACACAAGTCTCAGAGGTGCTACAAATAGTGTACCCAGCGCTGCAGACCTCCGCCGGCGATACAGAGACAAAAACGTTCATGTCCGAGCTACTTCAGTTCATACTACTTTGTAAGATCAATCACAAAAAGGAGAACAGATTCCCGTCTATCATGCCCTTCTTCCCCGGTTTTCATTTTGTTTTGCCTTCTGCAACAATTTGATGCAGCTGATGAAGAGAAACAGTATCAAAGCATGTGGAGAACAGGGGGGACAACCTGCCCCTGGCAATAAAAATCTGTCAGGTGCCGAAGCAGAAACTGTGTGCTGTGTCTCTGATCTCTTAGCAGCACATCTATCGGTGAGAGATGGATGATGTCTTTTGTCATCTTTGCTAATTATTCTCATATGTTTATATACAGAGCTGATCAGTCTTGCTCTACAGGAAGGATGATTAAAATTGTATCAGCACGCAAATCATAGGACTGATTCTTTCAGCAGCAAGACTGGTTGATGCTGTCGCATTTTTATATACACACATTAGTGTCTGCATATGCAGCCAGTAGGAATGGGATCATGATCAAGTGTTTTCAGAATAAAGAAATATTGCTAATATTAAATACTATTTATTTAGTACTTGATTAAAAAGCAAAGATAGGACTTCTACTGTTTGTCTATTTAGTTCAGAATCACAACTAATAAAGCTAACACTAAGTCACAAACAGTTATTTTTGTTCTAACATTCAAAGAACAGTTTTAAAACCAGCTTATCTTTTGGGTCAAGAAAGCACTGTCTTGATAAGTGCTATATGAAATTCTGCTTAAGAGATGAAGATTAAGCTTCATGTCTAAAAAGTAAGCAAGTATTTCAATAGCTTTATCATTCCCCATAGAAAGACTCATTTGAAACTGCTGGCATTTCCAGGAGAATGGGCATCCAGTTCTCCTACAACTCTATGCAGTTCAACACTTTAGACTTGAATTTAAAAAAAAAAAAAAGTCAATCAAGAAATAGGGACCTTCTGATTAGTTATCAAAGAAATTATTTTCAGCCTGAGGGTGATCAGCACCTGAAGGGGCCCAATGAGGCTGTGGGATCTTCACCCTTGGACATCATCTCAACTCAAATGGACAAAGGCTGGGGCAATCACACAATTCAAGAACCAAGTATCACAGGTGTCTGTGATATCCATCTTCCTGGACACATACTCTTCCTGAGAAGTACAAAGGGAAAAACACATCTCTAATGTTAAGATGGCCACGCAGCAGTCAGCCAGCCAAAACCCAAGCTAAATGGACCTAAGCTTCAGGCCTTACTCTGCCAGACAGTGGAATATTGATGGAAAGCATTCTCCCTATTTTGGAGTTGAGCTAAAAAGCTTGGTTTTCAGAAGGAGTTGTCTGTATATCTGCCGTAACTTAAAAACAAAATGAAAGTAGGTTCTATACATGGACAGGGAAGATTCTCTCAGGGCCCGCTCACAATACAGTAACGAGAAAGTGCGTATACACTGCAGCCACAAAAGACATTTGTCCGATTCCTGTGTTTTGAGTCTGACCTCCCCAAAAGCAAGCAGCAGACAACAAAAAAAGAGCTCAAGAAAAACGATTATGCAGCCACAGGGAAGCAGAGGAGAGAGATGCCTCTGGAGCATCTGCAGAAGGTTAAAAGAAAGCACCCAGGAAATTCCTGTTGGCACAAAGACACCGGGTGGAGGAGGAGCCAGGGGTCATCACATCCTGTCAGCTGGCAGGGAGGTGTTACAGTTCAGAGTTTGCTGGAAACCAGGAAACTGCACCATGCTTGGAAACAAGGCAGTGCTGATGGCCACAGGAAAACAGAACCTCTACTACTTGCTCAGCTTCAAACGACACCCCCATTTTAGTTGGTTTCCCTGAGCAAAGTGACTGCACTGCTCGCCTTCTCTCCCAACAACCTTTTTTAAATCTGTTGGCCAAATTTGACAGTATAGAGAGCTTGAAGATAATTAAGATAATGACATTCTGCAAAATCAGTATAGCAGACACTCCCAAATTAATGCTACTACAGAGATGCAAGTACAATTCAGCCCTTATGCAGTACTCCACTGGTTAATCAGATCATTAAAGTCAACTGCAGAAGGAAGAAAGCAAGCTCATTTAACTTTGTTAGACAGGAACTACTGTGAAGTACAAGTGTACAGCTCTCACCTGCATTTTTGGATCTTGCATGGAGCTCTTTAGACCCTGACTCCAGTGTCCTAAATGTTCCTAAAGCACAGAAGGAAAAAAATTATTTGTAAGAGAACTGAGAATCCAATTGTATGTTTTAAAGTCTTCAGTTAAGTACTTTCACTAGTATACAACAGTAAAATAACAGCTGAATGACAGCTGAATTATTTCCTTTCTATAAATGCCAACACACCTGCTCCAACTGCCCCCACAAAGCTACTTCTGAAAATTTTTAACAAAATACTGTTAAGATTCAAAGTTAAGTCTTTCAAATGTTGGAAATTTAACAACAGGGACCTCTAGATCTGTTTGAATTTGATAATTTGCATGCACATGTTATGGCACAGTTGTTGATTACTATTGATGACAGATTATTTTACTAAAAGACCCTCTGCTTCACAGATCCCAAGGGCTAAAGGAAGTACAAGGATCTCTATTAACTGTTCTATCACATGGTGCTCTGCACAGAACAAAGAAGTGGTTGCGGTGTGTGGCCCTACTCTTAGATGTAATTTTTTTTTTATATTATGCAAGGAGTGGCTTGTACAGAAAACAAGAAAGACACAGGAAGATCAAGCCAACACTAGCAGATATCTCTTAACTGGGTTACTGAACACCTAATAGAAGGTGCCTTGAGTGCACTTTTTTTAAAACAGATAATGTTTTATCTGTTCAGATCACTTTACAGGCATTATCAATGACGATGATCATCATATTCTTATAGAGGAAGATGTTCAAACATTATTATAGTGCTGACAGAGAAACAGTGTGAATTGTCCTGTCTCCCTGCTCATACCACCACAAATCTGGCCCTAATATAACTAGCCTGAGTTCACAAATGAAGTAAGTGGTCAACCCACCACAACCTGGGACTGAAATTTTGTTTCATTTCTGTGCCTTCTCCTCCAGCAACTGCACTGTTACAGTTCCAGATGCGCTAAGCAGTCTTTTATTTTGTCCATGTCAGCAGGGCTAAAAACTCCCTTACAAAAGATTTTGGCTGGTAACATTCATTAATGTAAACATGGTTCTATCATAAGGAATGACCAAAGCAGAAGGGGGGAAAAAAAAAAGCAATCAAAAAAAAAGAGGGTCAAGTTGTTCCACTCTCTGTGCGTAAGCTTTTAGATAACCACTGGTCTATTTGTAAGACAGCAGTTTCATCTCAAGAGCCAGCGCAGTATCCTTGTGTGACTCCAGCTAAACTGAGCTCATGTGGACTGTCCTTCTAGCAGAAGCTGCAGCAGGAACTCAAGATTAAATCCTCACTCGCTACAAGCAAGCCCCTTCACACACATCCACCTCCAGCTCAGGTCAGAATGGGTCCCAGGTAACTTTCTCAGGACCCAGGTAATGTCAGGAGCAGAGTCTTTGCCTCAGCACACGTCAGCTCACATGCTCTGAATACTCTGAGGATCTGTATTCACCTGAGACACTTCCCCATCAGTAGTACCCACAAAAGTAAAAGACCAAAGCCCTGATGGAGGAGACAACCCCAGGAGAAACAGCACAAGTACTAATACCAGTACACTTGCCTTTTTGCACGAAGTTCCTTCATGTGGAGATACACCAGTATTGCTTAGCTCGGGATTTGCAGAACTGCCTTGTGTATCCACCACCTCCATCTTCTTTGTTTTTCTGGGCACAAGCTCTACATCATCATTCTCGCAGGAGTCCTCACGTGGCGTCTTGTTGGTTTGTACTTTCTCTTGTGCTTCTGTAACGGTTTTCCCTGACTCTTCAGCAAATTGCACCGTGTAGGGGTAAAGTTTATTCACAATATGCAGAACTTGGCCTGGCTTCATTTTCACCTCTTCATCCTTGCCAATATTCACAAGATCAAGACTAGTTGGGTTGACGCCTATCTTTGGTAGGGAGAAAAAGAAAAAAATAGCAAATGATGTTGTAACTGGACTCACCAACTCCATTGTCCTGGAATATCAATATCCTGGAAAGCAAATGCATTCTGTATTCACTGCACCCCCTCCCCACATCGACCCGCTCTAGAGGATCAGGAAAGTCCCAATGCTGGAGACACCTCTCTATGGCCCTGTCTTGCAATCACAGCTCTCAGCACACAACCCTCAGGGGCATACTGACCCTGTGACAGTTCTGTAGCAGCTGGCTACAGAGTTATGCAAGACCTATGCCACACTTTGCTCAAAAAAAATAACAACCTATTAAACAGCTGTTAAAGTAGTAACAGCCTTAGTAACAATTATTTCTGAAGAGTAACAGTAGTTTTAATGAATTATTTCAGTCCAATCTCCCCAGAAAGTTTCCTGTTTTCAAATTATTTTACTTTCTCTTTCTTCTCTTTTTTACTAATTTTGTTTTCTGTTTCTACCAAATGCTGTCCCGTCAACATATTTGCCTTCAAATACATAAGGACACTCTTTTGGCTCATTTCAAGAGTTCGGGCTCACCAAGCTGGCTCACCAAGCACAGCCCACTGCTAACACTTGCAACACACTCCCTCCTGCGTAGACAAAAAAAAAAAAAAAAAAAAAAAAATCAGGAAAAAAGTCTCTCTGAGCCCCCAGAAGAGTCCACTACACAGGAATCAGCTCCTTGCCTCTGTCTTTTTTTCTTTCCCAAGTTGAAGATGATAACCCTTTTCCAGCCCACAGAAGACTGTGTTCACAGTGACACCACTTGCCTGTTCCTTCAAGAGGCTAAACTCTCTGTCCACCTCAGCTTGTGCAAAGTATATACCAGCCTATCTGTATTTTAATGTTTTTCTTTTCATTTCGCATCTTACACTTTCATGAAACCAACTCTGTTATTTATTCTGTTCTAGCAGAAAATGAGGACAGCAATGTCTAATTTTTACCTGCCTCTTTCATTGCATCAGTTTACAGCTCTATGCAACTCTAAAATAATTTTCCCCTCAAAACAGTGTTTCAAAGACCAAGAAGTTACCTGAAGTTTAGCTGATAATTGAAAAGCAATACATTTTCCTCTGTCTCAGGCATAACTGATAACACAAAGTGGTGTGGGCAACCTATAGTGACTGCTCGATAGACAAATTTTGCCTGATCATGAGGGCGACCCTAGGGAAATTAGGAGTCTCCAACTTCAAAATGCTTTTGGTTAATGTTTATGCATGAAACAAGCTTTAGGAAACCAGCTCTTCCCTATGACTGATAAACTCTGTCACAGAATGTTTCTTTAGCTTTGTCACTGCGATACCTGCCTGCTTCACAAGATGGTACTGTGCCTCTCATCACTTAGTATTCACAGGGATGAAGCACCCGCCTGACTCCAGTCAGCGTCTCTTCAGTCTACAGTTCCGCAGTTTTACTCAAGTCAAGCAGACTTCACATGCCTCAGGCCAATACGCTATCAAACAACTGATCGCTGGAACCCTGTGACGCACACAAATCACCTGGGAAGCAATTCTAGAGCAGCCAGCGAAAACGTGCTAGCATCCACCACCAGAAAGTATTCCCAGCCCTGAGATTCCTGTAACACAGTATTCAAATTGTGGCTAAGGCTGACTTCTGTGAAAAACTGTCCGAGAGATCTTTGCCAGATTCACCGGATACTGGTGGTGTCCCTGTGCTTACTGAGTTCTGGAGGCGTTTTGACAGAAAAGGTTACTCCTCAGTAGGCAGAACACGTTGATGTGTTGTCCACACGTGCTGATGCTGCGGGCACACATACATGCCCCAGCACCTCAAGCCAGAGAATTCCCCCTTCATATTATCTCAGGGATACTGGTCTTCATAAGTATGAGAGAGTAGGCCTACATCCATCCTGTTAGTAACATGAGAATACCTCCAGTGCTGTCTCACATCCCATCCCTTCCCAGAGGTGACCACACCTTTGGCTCCACCAGCCATCAAAACAAAAACCTTCCACAGCTGCCCAATCCCATTAACACAGGAACCAATTTGACCTTAAATGAAGGGCTGCCTCAGCTTTAGACGTTTAAGGCTCGGGAGGCAGATCAGCAAGTTTAGGGGAAGAACTCCAAAATCTCCAAATAGCGCCTGGAAGAACAAGTCGAGGATTCACAGCAGCATTCCATGATGCTGCAAGTCTGGCCATCTGAGACTGGAGTGTATTTGGAAGGATAGTGCAGTCTTTCCATTGAGGTACACAAAAAAAAAGGACAGATCCCTTCCAAGGACCACTCGCTGTGCTCTCCTTGGTCATAAAACAGCTTCAGGCCCTTCAAACCCAGTGATCAGAATCATCAGCATTTGTGGAGTTTAAGTACAACAACCGCCCCAGTAAGTATCAGAAATATTGTACACCCATTTAAAAACATACCTGCTTAACCGTGACATACCCCTTGTTACAGTCTGCCCTTAACTGAACTGGAAAGAAAGAACAAAGTGTCACAAAACAGTGTAAATAAAAAGGCCAGAACTCTGCTGAAACACTCCCTGCAGAAAACACTCCTGTATTTTAAGATCTGCTACCTTCTGAAGCTGGTCTCCGTGCGTGCATGCAAAGAATACTTCTGCCTCATCCTCTGTTTCCAGGACCACAGGTAAAACAGAGCCAACCTATACACATCATGGATCAGCAAAATTACTTCAGAATAAAGGTGATATCTGTGGAAGTCTTCTACACGTTCTTGCTATTCTCACCAGCCCTCTGTGACAACAAGGCATGGAGCAGGACTGTGTCCACAGGGAAGAAACATAAGGCAGGGAAGATGTAAAGGGGAATATTTTATAGATCACAGATATTTTTCTATATTCTCCCAGTGCATCTAGAAAATAACAAGACGTACTAAAAATCAGTTGGTGGAAGACTAGGGGGATGAAGTGCCACTCACAAAGCAAGAGAGCAGGCAGTGGAACATGACTGCGGGCCTGGGGACTCATGTTAAGGTTCAATGCCTTAGTTTACAAAGCTGAACTTCCTGTTCTTAGGTGTCTCCTCTGATTTTTTAGGACCCAGAGATCTCCATAAGCACTTATAAAAAAAGCTTGATGACTTCAAGAATCAGGCAACACTATGGACCATGCAGGGGAAAGAGACCACAAGGCAGAAGCAAGCCTCAGGAAAGCTTGTTTAGATTTCAAGGAAAAACTGTGATTTCCCATTTAGACCCTGCTCAAAGCAGGCTTATGAATTAGGCCAAAACACTGGTCCATTAGCTTCACTGTAATTTAGCCAAACAGAAGAATGATGTTTATTGATAAACATGAGTGCTGTACTCGTTATCTCACACTCTTTAAAAGTTTGGTTGCTGCTACATGTAGAAAGCTGGATTTGAGCTAAACCTTACCTTGCTGCCGTGAACACCTCTTATCCGTTATCCCAGTCTCTGGGCCACGCCCAATTACCACTGCTTCCAAGTGTGGCAGTTTTATTCGCTGACTGCATTTCTCTTTCCCCACGAGCCAGCACACACGCATCACTGTGCTATAGACCAAAACAAACAGTATGTTACTAACACGCAGCTTCCCGATGGGTCACCTTCCTGTGGAATGGGGTCCAGGAGATTCTGCTGCCAGCCCATTCATTAGCTGAGTCACTTCTGCTAACTGGGTTCATGTTTCTGAAGTTCAAGGCAGATCACAGCATTAACACTAGCATAATCTAAGAGCAAGTTGCTGTTGAAAAGACAAGCCTATTTTCCTTCCTTTTTCATCACCATACATTCTCACATCCACGGATCATACATAGGAAAAATCAATTAGATCAACAGTTCCATCTGACAGAAAAGCCTACCCACAAAAAAAGTGATTTGTTTCCCACTGAATCAGAGCTGATCCAAGAGATCAATTTACCCACCAAAACAAAGAAAGCGGCAGAAGACAGAGAGGGCGAGAGCGGGATAGCTTCATCCAGCAACAGTCTGCAGATGGACCATGCTACGAAACCGGCCCCTCAAGTTTACACCAATTTTACCCTGGACAGCAAAGATCCCGCAACCTCCCCCCGCCTGGTGCTTGGCGCTACACGTTTCTCCTCCCAACTCTGTGGCGAGCTTATCCCGGTGGAAAGCAACCCTCCGTCCCCAGTGGGACTGTCACACACTCAAAAGCGTGCGACGTGCGGCTAGGCCCACCCAGCTGCACCTCCCTCTCGGCCTGCTGGTCAGAACGGGCCCCCTCCACCGCTTACTACACACTCCGCCTCGGGGCGCCGCCTTTACCCTCGGTGCTCTACCCC